AATTTAAAAAATAGTCTTATTTTAGCAACTTGTATGAAGTATTTGAAGTTGTAACTTAGTAATTCTGATTGTACCAAAACTAATTTTGGAGGCATATAATGTTATACAAATAAATTTAAAAAGCATATACTTTATAAAAAGCTCTGTTTAGAAATTCTAAGTAGAGAGATAATATAATCTTCAATAGTATCACTTATAAATATCTTGATCTGAAGACAAAAATCTAGAACAAATAATCTGTATTGACAAGAACTCTAAATAAAGAAGTTCACCAACCTGACTATTAGTTAAACTGAGTATGAAGTTGCATCATACAAAGCTAATTAGATTAGTAGTATAGGAGAACTTACAAAAATATACAAAGTACTGAAAGTTGTAAAGAGGAGTACTAGAGTTGTATGAATCCTATAAGAATGTAGTAGTTTAAGGATTACTCTAACTATAAGTATTGATCTCAGATATAGCAATACTAGATTAGCTAAAAATTAAATAACAGAAGGCTTTAGTAAGTTTAGTACAAAGTTAAAGGTTTCTTATATGAGTAAACTGCTTTAAAAACCTAGTAATTATAGTAAATATACATTGATAAAAACTGAAACAGTTGATAGAATAAATAGATAAATAAATACAGAACCTATAGTATTTAAATAAAGAATTCACAAGTGGATTCTAGATATGGCAGCTAGTATAGAACTTTTAGATAAACTATTTAAATTAGATAATAACTAAAGTTATATAAATAACTAGTTGTACACTTTTCCTATAGTTGCCCTTTGTAGCTATTGTAATACAATTACAAAACTAAAACATATTATTAATAAAAACCTAGGTTGCAAATATTCATTTTTAATATTAAAAAAAATAAATAAATAAAAAATGTATAAATTAAAACTTTATTTATATAATAGTAAAATTTATAGTTTATTAGACTTAATTTTTGAAAAGTTTTTATTTTTATTTTTTATTTTTTTGTATTAAACTAGTCTTTTTTAAAGCTGAGGCTTTTTATTTAGTAGTTAGAATATAGGAACTTATAGTTAAAAATCTTAAAGAAGTCTTTTTAGATTAGAAAGTACAATTAGTTATATATACACTTTTGATGTCTAATTAAGTAGTCTGCTGATGGTTTTACATTAGCTGTTATATCTGCAATTCAACTAGAAGTATTGCTTATTTAAACTTTTATATTACAATTCTTATTATATCACTAAATTATCTTTACTATATAAGTTAGTCAAAAAAATCCAGATGCTTAACTATACTCTTAGAACTTTATACCTTATTTCATGCAATGTATTTTCAGAAGCATCATTACTAAAGTCTTTTATGTCCTATATACAGTTAACTTAATTTTATATAATATGTTATAGTTATCTAATATTTGCAGTTAAAACTAAACTTAAACTGTTACATTATACTATTTATATTCTTATAAAGTTTATTCAAATCTTAGTATCTATCTTTTTAACATCTTCTTTATCATCTTCTACTAATTGCAACTTAGAACAAACAGACTCTTCAGATTTCCAATTCAGATAACCTAGTATAATATATCTTAGTATTCTTTTTTTCTAATGATTCTGGTAGCCTGGTTGGTTATATGCTTCTTTATATATCTTATTATCTGGTTTATTTGTCTGTTTCTATGAAAATGTTTTATGGCCTTCTATCACTCCAACAGCACTATCAAAAGTTTATGCTATCTCTTTACTTAAGAATTTCTAAGTAGAATTCTGTTTTTTTAGTTTCTTAGTTTTTTGCATCTGATGGTTTTATTATGAGTTTGCACTGAAGTTTTATACAATATTAAGTATTAATATTCTTCTATGCATATATAATATTACACTTTGTATAAATATCTTAAGCTTTTAATAATGAGTAGAACCTGACTTGATATACTTAGATTACAGCTACATAAGACCAACTAATTAACAGAAAACAGTTTTTGTAATATAAGTTAATTTCTAAATTTCATTATAGATGAAATTTAAATCTTAGACCTGCTACTTGAATAATAACAATCCAACTACTATATTAGAATTATCATTCTCAAAAAAAAAGTTTTTAAAAAATAAGTCTATTAAACTTTAAACTGTAAATTTTTTTTTTTAAATATTTTATATTTGAACCTATACTTATTTATAAATTTTAAATTAAACCTAAACCAAATTTATTACTATATTTGAGTCTAGTTTAGATTTAGAAATTATGAGTTTGAGTTTAGTTATAGGTTCAAATTAATAAAATTTATTGTTTAAAGTTAGTTTGAGTTTAGGTTCAACCTAAACCAAACTGAACTTAAACTGAATATAGGAACTCTATGTATATTAAATAATATTCTATAATTACATATATAGTTATAAATGATTTAATAAAATACTGTTATGACTATTTAAAAAAAAAAATTTTTAATTAAATTAAGATTGTTAGTTAAAATACTTTATTAAATCAAATAAATATTTAAATAATTTTTAAAATAATTGAATTTTTCTTGACAATTACTTAAACCAAACTAATACCAAAATAATTTGAAAAGTTTATAAGTGAACAATATCTTTAATTTTGTATCAATATATAAAACAGATTATTACTAACAAACTAAAAATATATAAAAAAACTAAGGCACAAATAACTTTTTTAGTAGTTTATATTAAAATTAAATCTCTTTTTCAAATAGACTTTTTTTCATGTTTAGTATTCAAACTAGATGAATATTTTGAAAACAATAAAGAAAAACTCTGATTAAAGGTTGTAAAAAACTTAAAAATAAAATAAATAACTGAAAAACATTTTTTTTAGTTTGGTTTTTTATATATTATATCTACTGATTTCTTTCTTTTTTTAAATGTATTTTTTATATAAAAATGAGGATTTTGATTTCTTTTTATAGAAGATTAATATTGTTTATTATTTTCTTTTTTAAACAATTACATGTTGTGATATAATGTAATGGGAATACAATACAATTATATATATAATTTAATATATAGTATAATGAAGAATGAAAAAGGATTTAAGTTAAAGAATTATAATAAATTAGAAATATATAGTAATTTTCAAATAATATATATAAATTTTTTATTTCTTTAATACAAATTAAAATGTAATTAAATCCTTAATACAGATTAAAGTATTAATAACCTTACTAGAATAATTATGAATAAGTGTTCTTTCTGACACTTTTTTCTTTTTTTCTTTTTGTAACCTTTTTAGTTTAGTTTAAATTATTTTTTTTTATTTTTTTTATTTCTCTACAAGAAAGTATTATCAGATTGATAATACTCTATTGTAGAATGACAGTTAGAAATAATCTTTCAAACAATAACTTGTTACAATCTGATGTAATAAATCACTCCTAAGCACTTTTAGAAGCAGTTAGAAGAGTTAAGATTTTGAGATTAAGTATATAATATTAACAATAATGTTAATATTTTCTTAATAAAAAAAGTCACCAGCATGACTACCTAAATGAAAAAAAAAATATATATATATATAGGTAATTTTGTATCAAAATATATTTTAACATAATATTATTTTTTATAAAATATAAAATTCTAAATTTGATTAAATACCTAAATAGTTAATTAAATAAATACTATATAAGTAAATGTTTAAATAAATACTATATGAGTAAATGTTTAAATAAATACTATATGAGTAAATGTTTAAATAAATACTATATGAGTAAATGTTTAAATTAATACTATATGAGTAAATGTTTAAATTAATACTATATGAGTAAATGTTTAAATTAATACTATATAAGTAAATGTTTAAATTAATAATAGAAAATTTGTACATTAAAGTAACTGATTTTAAGTTGATAATAATCCAGATCCTAGTTATAAACTTTAACATGATGAGTACTGTATAAAAACAAACACATTTAAAATTTTCAAGTAGGTATCATTTAGAAACACTTATATAATTAAACCTGGTTGATAAAGACAAGCATCGGTTTTTGAATCAAACTCATTTTAAGGTATATAATATTAATAAATAAGTTTATATATTTTTTAATTTAGACATTTTCGACATTATTTAAGCATTTCTACATAATTTAGAATTTCAACATTATTTAAGCATTTCGACATAATTTAGAATTTCAACATTATTTTAAAATTTCGGCAGACTAACTATATATCAAATGACGAAATATTTTTACAAGCTCAAAACAATTTCGGCTAACAGCATTAGATTAGAATTAGGGTGTATATGGAATTTAAGTGGGTTCGGAATTTTTATATAAAACCAGCATTTTGGGGTTGATTTTATCATATGAACACCCTTATCCTAACCCAAATCCACTTAAATTCTGTTTCCACTTACAACATATGTATAATAAATCAACCCCAAAACGCTGGTTTTATATAAAAATTCCGAATCCACTTAATTTCGTTTCCACTTACAACATAGATATTTAAACTAGTATTTAATGGTTTAAAATGAATGATCAAATATAAATTAAAAAAAAAATACACGGTTTTGTCATAAAATCGAATATAGTTTATTATAATAAGGATAATATACTTTACATATTCTAAAAAAAAAAAACCATTACCATATATTATTAAAGGATTAAAAACAAGCATAAATATTACATCTATAAACTAAATATATAATTTGCAATAAGTTAAGAGTGAGCGTAAGAAAAAAACTTCAAACCAAAAAATTTTGGTTTACGAAATAATTAGTGTATTGATGATTGATGCATGATGGTACAAATACACGTGAGTTAATTAAAAAAAAAGTCTTATATGAATGATAAATAATGTTTATGCGAATACATTGATGAATATTTAAAATGATATTTGAATTCGTTAAATAAGATAAATAAGATATCGGTGAAATATGTAAAGTGAATCTATGCGTAGGGTTATTGTTCTTGCTTTCTAGAGAAATTAGAACCATATTAGATCAAATAAAAAGGAAAACAACTGATATGTTTAATGTTTAAACTACTCAAACATCAGTCGAGCCATCTAAACTACAAATCAGACCTATTTCCATATGCGTTTTCTACATATTACAATTGATAAAGTTTCCTTGATAGTGAAATAATAATCCAACAAGATTCATGGTCAATACATATTATATGTTTCACTGCACCTCACAATCTTTTGTGGTTTGCTATGTCGTTTTGAAATACTTCCGCTTTTTCGGTGAAATGACTCGTTATTGGTTGTGTTTAAATATACCCCATTTACGTAGTTTTGCTTATAAAAATCCGGGTCCCTTTGTTCAAAATCTGGTGTCATGGCATTCCGACGACGGGTATATTTGTTAATTTTCCAGATCTCATATTGAGATTTGAGTTTCTTGAAGAAAGACATTCTTTAAAGGACGCGTCGAGACTGGAAAGGTCGCTCTTCCCAATGATTTAGGAAGCAAATATTTTCTTTCTCTAAGTTGTCTTGTGGATCTATTATTACAATATGACCGCTTAACAAGAAAAGCTTCCAGAGCTGATGAAATTCTTTAAACACAGTTGACACCAATGTAATATAAAACTGAGATTGCAAACTACGATTTAAAGATTTATATGAAGAAAATGGTAAAGAAGGAAAGGTAGGAAAATGGAAGATTGGTTGTGTAAGATTGAGGAATCAAACGAAGGTAAAAAAATGTAATGTTTTATATTAAACGGTGTGCAAGAACATCTTACAGGAGTTTCTCAAAATCGAAAATCATTAAATTTATTGTATCACTACTACAACTATTACGTATAATTGTACGACATTATATTCTCACGTTACAATAAATATTGTGTCACCATTGTTTATACGTAAACGACTTCGTATATTGCTTACATTAATAATATCAGTTTTTCTGGCTAGTATAAGGTATCAATGGACGATGATTTTGATTTATTTGATCTTAATTGTATAGCAAAGGTTGTATTTATGTTCGCTCTATTTTTAGATCGGATATCATCGATATGGATCATCATCAAATATGGATCATCAAATGTGAATGAAATTCTCACCTTTTTTAGTAAACTTGAAAATTCTAGTTGTTTTTTAAAAATTTATAGTAATAGAATAAATTTGATAAGCATATTTGCCTGCAGAATGCATATCTTTGTCTGCACGTAAGAATGGTAAAGTCTAGTCTTGATTCCGGGACTTTTAGGTTCAATTGTGCAAACTTTAAGACCCACATATATTAAAATTAATATTTGTATTTTGTACAACAAACTTAATAATGAATATGTCAAACCCATCCCTTTTGATTCACAGGGTCCATTCTTTTGATTCATAAAAAAAGGCCCACATTTTGATACTATCCCATATGATTTACCCTAATAAAAAGGTGGGACCTTTTTTTATGAATCAAAAAGAATGGACCCGTGAATCAAAAAGGATGAAATCGCAAGAAAATGAGTAAGACTACATGGGTGTCTAAATTATTTTGCTCTTGGCGTAATTCTAGACAGAAGAAATTATTTTTGACCGTCTAAAACGTAAATAATTTAATCTGTCGGAATTATTTTAGTATGCCGAAATTATTTTCGAATGACAAATATATTTTTCGATGGCGAAAATATTTTTGTGTGGCGAAATTGATGAAAATATTTTTTAATTATTTTTATTAATGATGAAAGATCTAATTGATTTCAATGCAAAGTTTAAGATACCTAATTTTAGGGTACATAGGTATACCTGAGTACTGTAAGAGCATTAATAATCGGTCGTACTTAAATTTTAAGGTCTGAACAGAATCCGCCGTGGTTATATTAAATGCATAATAATCTAAAGCATTTTTTTTTTAAAAAAAAATTCAATTACTTCAAGTTGCATATGTGAATCAAGTAAATCATAAATCGTATATAATTGGAAATATTTAATGATACTTAAGAAAAGATAACGGTTAAAAAATTCATATTGCTTACACATTGCCCATCACTAATTCATTCACATAATATCAATGCCTTTAACAAGCGGGCGAAAATAATTTCGACGAGTGAAAATAATTTTGTCAAATAAAATTAATTTCACTGGCAAAGCGAAATAAATTTCGACGGAATTATCTTGCATACTAACAAAAAGCTTTTCTCCTTAACTTTTTGTAATGATAAAGCACCTAACTTAATTTAATACAAAATCTAACCCTAATTTAACGAGACCCTTTTTTTTAACCAGGTACCCAAATTTGTTTCAGATCACGCGATATGCTTTATTAAAAGCATTGGTTCATTACATAATTCTAAGTCATTAAATCATATCGCGTGATCGGAAAAAAATTTGGGTGGTGAATTTTACCCGGTTTTTTTTTCTCTATATGTTTTTGATAACTAAGGTTGATACAGCTTAATATATAAAAAACATATAAAAAAAAGGGAAAATTTTATTCTGTCTAAATATGGGGGCAACAAATAAGATGGGATATAACCCAGGTACGACTGTATAATATACCGGTGTGCAAAAAGTCGCTAAAATTATTTATGCAAAATGTTATTGTGACGCAATGATTATGAATTGTTTCTATTAATATAAAATATATATTTACTCTTGTATAATAATTATAGTATATCGACAGTCTATAATAATTTTGACAGTATAAAATAATATTGACAGTCAATAATAATTTTGACAACCAGTCTTTTGAGCGAAAATACAAAAAGAATTTCGTCATTCCATCTGCCAATATAATATCTTGTTATACCGGCTGCAGTGTAACACGTGAGTTAGTATTTTGCAAAATTTTATTGGCTCTATCCACCTAACATTACATGTGTTGGCCTCGCCTATAAGTCCAGTAAAATTGAACTGGAACTGGACTTATAGGTCAAGTGGTCCAGTTTATAAGTCCAGTATAACGAACTTTTGGTCCAGAGCCCAACACTGATTACATAGACTTGCATTCGATTATGATCAAACAGTTAGTGTCTTCGCTCCGCTTCGGACAATGAAAATATTTGATATAACTAGATTGCTTGTACTATATCAAAAAATTTTTGTAGATAAATTACGAAGGTTTTCAATTTTTGAAATTTAAAAAATATAAATCATAAGCATAGAATTTTAGTACAAATAATTGTCGCGGATTATCGTGAAATTTGAGTAATACGAATAGTAGTAGAGTATGGTTTAGTAATACATCGTGTATAGTATGCAAATATATATATAATTTATGCAAACGTGACGTTAGAGATAACTAGTGATGGGCAAATCGCAGTTTTTTAAGAATCCCGCGCGGCTGCGCGGAATAGTAAAGTTTTTTAATTTTTCATGAATTATAAAAATATATATAAAGATAATCAGTAGAAATATAGTTTCATGTTAAAATAATATATTTTAAATACATTTAGCATTTCAAAATGATGCCAAATCGGTTTATTAACACCCATGTTATAATAATGTTGGGGAAGTTTCATCACATCAAAAATGATTAATTTATTACTTATCGTTTAAATTTTTTTGTTTGTATTTTTTGTTAAGCTACATGAATGTTTAGTGCTCGATATATTTGTTACGTGACGTTCGAAACTTTTTTCCCCAGTCTTAGAAATTGGCCATTAATGTTAATGCAGGCCGGATAATATTTAATGCAGGCCGGATGATATTTAATGCAGGCCATATGATATGCTAATGTAGGCCAAATAATCTCATATTAAAGATCCCGCGTGTGGCCCATCATTAGAGATAGGGCTTTAAAACTGGTCAGCAAATCCGGCGTCGTCATCACTATTCGAGGCGCTGTCACATTATAATCCGACCTCCTGATGCGCCAATGCAAACATTCTTGTAATGTGCTCTATAATAGTATAATAAACTTTTTTATTAGAGTTCGGTATTGGGACATAGTAAAAAAATTTTTATTACGAAAGTTAACCGTATGCAATCGTTTGTTATTCATATGTCGACAAAAAATAAAGATGGCACATATGTAAAAATACAAGAAAAAAACAAACGATTACAACATATTCATAATATACTTTATAATTTCGTAATTCAAAATTTTTTATTATATCAAGAGTTCACTATAACAAAGGTGAGCTGTATTTGGGTATCATTTAACTCCTGAGTATATTTTTTAGAACTCTACAACCTTTTATAGCTTTGTTTAAATTATTTATTTGTGTTAATTCAATCCATAAATAAAGTTACAGCAAAAGTTTACTATAACAGGCTTCTTGGACCTAATGAACTTTGAAAATTTTAAATTTATATTATTGAGTTTGTAATATATAGATTTTGTATACTTATTAATTCAATATTATTTGAACAATTAATTCATGTTTACGGTTTATTTTATTAATCAAGTTTCTCTTAGAGTCAGGCCCACCGAATAATTGATTATAAGGACAATTAATTGCAATTGCTTGAGAAATGCAATGACTTGATAAAGATGTAATTGGCTGGAGCTGAGGGAAAACGAGGTGAAAGCCTTTCAAATGTTACAGTGCTACTCTACTGAATTTTCAAAAATGTTCGTACTCTGTATCGAATATCATCATAAATAATAATAAGTAATTTATCAATTAGAAAATAAGAATCATTCTGTATCATTATAAAATGTTATCGTATCATAAGCAAGTATTTTGAATAAATAAAAGAAGGGTTTTGGTTTTTATTTGGGTTAAAATGCAAAAAAAAAACAAAAAAGAACTTATACAGCCGAACAAATAGCTATAAGAAATGAAACGAAAAAGCTCAATAACTGAAGAACAACAGTTAGGTTATCGAAAAAGTGAATCAGAAAAGAGGCAGGCTCGTTGTAAACTAATAATAAAACGAAAGAGAATATAAATCAAGATGAACAAGCAAATATTTTAGAAAATGAAACATCACTTTCCTGTCAACTTACTGATGATGATAGTAATTTTTTTCAAAAAGTTTCGTGAAGCTGTTGCAAATCTTAGACATAATTATCGTTCTATTTGTAAGAAAGTTTTTCATTCATTTATATTAGATCATAAAACTGGTTATAAACATAATTTTATAAATAATATAACAGGGCACAAAATTCTATTGTAAAATACCAGAGGTTCCATTTAGTAAGTTGACTTTCGGCATAGTTTTAAAGCGGCCGGAAATTTTATAATATTACAGTTGTTCTCATAAATTTTTGGAAAATTGACCGAATGATTGTGATTGCTAATGAGCGATTATGTGAATGCGTAATGTGCTAAATGGCACTTTGTGATTTCGATTAGATTTCGATAATGATTGACATAAATAATATAGATAATGGCTATATAATGTACATATTACTATTTTCATCTTTGCTAAATGACATTTTCAAAGCATATTCGTTGGACAATCGTTGAAAACATTTGGAAGGCTTAACAATTGCCAGATATCTAGGTGTTAGCAAGTCTTTCGTAAGT